GGAGTGACAGGCAGACAGAGAGATGGACAGAGGTAGGGAGAGGGAGAAGAGGTAAGAGGTAAGAGAGAAATCGCTTGTAACGATACTTCGAAATACATGACATGTATTCATACATATTATGGTTCTTGTGATAGAAATATAGACGAACGCGCGCACCCACCCACACACACACACACGCACACACACACGCACTCACACACACACACACACACACACACACAACACGTTTGTGTGTGTGTGTGTGTGTGTGTGTGTGTAGAGAAAGGTAGAGAGAGTGTAGAAGGGCATGAAAGGGTTAAAAACAATTTCTCAGAATGTACTCCATAAGCTGTTTTATATTTTGTAGTCTGCAATTACAAAATAACCATAACTGAAGGTTGCAAGTAGAAGAAAAAAAAGCTATAATCAAAGCCGAACAAAGGTGAAGTCTAGCCTTCCAGATCTTTGAATCAGTGGTATGACAAGCTCCTTTCTCCTGCAGGCATAGTCATCATCGTTTGGGCAGAGTACAAGAAATCTGTTGTCATGTAACTGTTACATAAAAGAAGAACAAAATCTGCGCATGCCTTAGCTTTTCCACGGCAACCGGGACCTATTTCTGAGAATAGACAGACGTCGTATTTGCGGGTGGTTGGCGGTTGCTCTGGTGAGGTTTTCTCCTGGACCTTCTTTCCTATCAAACATCTGTTATCATGATCTCTCCTCCTTTTTGTATTTGTTACTTTCTTGTTATACCTCTAGTCTTTGGCACTTATATTATACAACCGTATCGTGTTGCAAGTACCGTAAAACTCGTACTAAAGCCAAAATAAAACAACAAACAAACATATTATACAAAGACATACAGATAAAGCTGTTGTTACGTAGCTTAGATTAAAAGAGGGGTAACTGAGGAATGTGAGCAGCACACGACATTGTCCAGTCCTTACCACCCCCCCCCCCCCCCCCCCCCCGCCCCCAGGCAAACACGCTCAGAACTAGAGCAGTAGGAACTCGAACAGTAGCCGACTGTGGTGTTGTAGCCTGAGACGAGTCAGCAGGGTAACAGCCAAATTCCCCAAGCCAAGCAATCAGATTGAACCCCTTCATGAAGAAAAGAAATAGATGGGCAAATCACACTAAAGTGTCCGTCAACCCTTCATCATCACAAAACGATGTCCTTCAAACCTTTCATCATCACATTTAAATGTTCGTCAACCCTTCAGCGCCATCCCATCATTTTGAGAAGAGAGAGGCGCTCAACTAAAAGTATTATTTCTGCCCATGAGAATAAGAGTGTTATAACTCCACTTTGCTGATCTTTGAAAATTGGACATTTTTTCCCGTTGTCAGAGAAATTAGACCTGTGATACTAAACTTCAAGGGCACCTACGTAAAAATGAACGCATAGGAGTTAGACCAGTGTTATCATTACCAAGGTATATGACAGAGATTTATTACATTATTGTAGTGACTAATCGTTTTCACTAATAAGTGGACATGAAACATTCTTTTTTCTCAAGGGCACTTTATAAATAAATGTTGCAGTGGTTTACCCTAGCGGCAGTAAGCAGTTTGTGATGCAGGGAGAACAGGGTCATGGAGTTCGCGTGAGCCAGACGGAAAGCAGGACACAAAAAGAACCTTGGCGTGTAGCCTGTGTTGTAAAGTGGGACGTAGATCTTGACTGCCTCAACCACATCTGGAGCGGAAAGGGAGGAGAGGATGGTCGGTGGGGGAGGTGTATTTTGAGGTGCATCGATATCAAGAAATCTTGTTTTTGTCTCTTTACGAGTATTCACTGGGGGATATTTCATCGGTAAACTGTTGAAAAATACAATGACCACAATGCAAACATTTTTCGGAAGAGAGAAGAAAAAATCTGACAAGTTCTTTTTCAATAGTATCAACATCATGTATTTCTTATTGCTTTTTTTCAATATTCAGATTTTGAATTTTGACAAAATATTTCTTGAGCACATAAAACTGATATCACAGATGAAGAGAGTGCTATAACAAAATCCACATTTTGGACATCTGAGCAACTGGAAAAAAGATTGATATTAATCTTACATGAATCCCCATGATCGCCAAAACCCCGCTGTGCCCCAGTTTCAGTCTTTTGTCACATTGAAAATAAAGACTTTTCGCGTTTTGCGTGTTCTTATAGACCTAGACTTCAGAAAGGTAGCAGACTGTTTTAAAGGCAAATATGATACGTAATGTATTAAACATAGAATAAAAGTAATTTCAAATAGTTTAAGATGACCTGGGTGCCGACAAAATGATGGTCTTTCCTTAGACATGGCATCGACATAAAGACGCTATGGGTTTTCGAAATAAATTAAAGCTGAAGCCATCCACGGCTGTCTCAAATCCAAACATACTAAATAGTTTCTAAGAAATAGACTGAGTCAGAGCCAAAGACTGATTAACTGAGAGAAAGTACAAACACGAGTATGTTGGGGCTAGGCATTCAAAAAACAACTCTTTTGCTACAATGATACTTGATACTGAGTTAAGAATACAAGGCAGACTTCGATATAGAAAGTGGGGCATGCCCCTTTCTCTCCCCATCCTGCGAGATAAAGTGAGAAGAGACAGAAAAAAAAGGGAAGGAAAGGACGAAACAGACAGAGAGAAAGAAAGAGAGAGAGAGAGAGACAGAGAGAGAGAGAGAGAGAGAAAGAGAGAGAGACAGAGACAGAGACAGAGACAGAGACAGAGACAGAGAGAGAGAGAGAGAGAGAGAGAGAGAGAGAGAGAGAGAGAGAGAGAGACAGAGAGAGACAGAGACAGAGACAGAGACAGAGACAGAGACCGACAAGTGTAGACAGCAACACAGAGGAGACAGAAAGACAGAGAGAGACAGGGATTGTGAACGGGCGAGAGAGAAGGGGGGGGGGGCGAGAGAAAGAAATAATAGAGCTAGAAAGAGAAAAAGAGGGAGAGAGAGATAGAGAGAGAGAGAGAAAGAGAAAAAGAGAGAGAAAGATAGAGAGAGTAGAGAGATAGAGGGGGGGGGGGTAGTGGAGGAGTAAAAGAGAAAAGAACAGAGCACAAGGTTAATTAGGATTCGCTACAGAACACTTGTCCATCTACCTCTCCATCTGCTTCGGGCTGTATCTTCGTCATGTCCCATCCTGCCCATATTCAGCGTGTAGCCGACAGCAAAGCAGAGAATCCCTATGGGCTCCAGGAGACACGCTTCCACGAGCATACCCACAAAGGCCATGGCGAGCCATTCAACGTTACGCTCATAACTGGAGCAAAAACCAAAAAGAATTGATCACGAGAAAAGCAAAAATACTCCTATCAAGACTGGACAGAGGAAGCATCATGCACTCAGTCGCATGCCCGTTTGAAAAGTAATAACCAAATTTATTATCTTATAATTTAGAGACAAAATTATAAGCAAAAGCAAAAGGTTAAAGAAGAATATGAAATGATAGTTGAAAGCATAGCATTTTTTGCTAAAAGAAGCCCCACCGGAGCGCAGATTTGAGAGTGATATATCGCTCATTACATTATTTTAGTGTACCATGTCAGCAAAACAACACAAACAAAAAAAAAGATATCTAACAAAAATACAACTAGGCATCTGAGGTCTCTGTTGCCAAGCGTAAACCATAAAGAAGGGGCCGGACCTGTCTTCATTCCATAACGGGGAGCTATAAATAGGCTGCTGTTCTTCCAACAAGAATAAATTCCCTCCGGCTGTGTGGGTGCCACTTGAAAGTTATCAACCCTTCTTTAATTTTCTTTACACATGTAAGTGTTTATGCGCCCTCATCGACATCTTTTATATATTGGCATCTTCGAAACACATGTGTCACTTTCCCCATAAAACTACGACAGCTACAGAGTTGAAAGTTGACAAGGACCTGCAAAAAGATAGATATGTCCCCATGACGGAGTCTGATTTTTGAGTTATTCATTTCCTGAATTTACAATAATATATTTGACCAAAAGTTTCTGTCCTTCTTTGGCCTTTGTGATTATTCTACTGAGAAACGAAACAAATCTGCGTAGCTCTCCTTCACAACGGAAATTCATTACCTCTCTTTAACGTTTGCCTAAGAAACACGATTGAAGAGACGGGAGAGTAATTTTCGACACTCACCTGAATGACATGGAGACGTGATCCTGTGTAAGCATCTAAAGAGTTGTTTTTAATAAAGGGCCCAAAGAGAAAAACTTTTTTATTACTGGGTGAAGATTTTAAAAAAACAATGTTTTGTTTGGTCGCTAGCCTGTAGAAGTGCCAAGCAACGTTTCGTGGGAAAAGATAAATTTGTAAATGAGATACAATTTTTTTAAACCTTGTCAGAGGAAAGTGAACAAGCTATAGACACTGCCTCTGTGATTTTGAAGACTTCGTTGTGTCCCTTTTACAGCGTAGCCGGCCTTTCGTGGATTATTATTTTCGTAGTGCTTTTTTGTGACGGTGTATGGCGAAACCCTTATTTTGTAATTGTGAAGGGCTAGACACCAATACACTAAAGCAATATAGATCAAGAAAGGAGTTAATCAAGGCAGACCTAATCTAAAGCAATATTGATCTAGAAGCCACGTGTGGCTGTGAAAGGCTAGACAGCAGTGTAGATGTAAAATGCCTCTGCGGTGTAGACCAGTAGGAGCAGTGATGCTAAGGCGTCGACCCCGAGCAAAGCCGGGTACTCAGCTAGTACTTAAGGGGGGG